ATATTCGCGCTGGCATGTAAAGCCCATGCGGGACACGAGGTAATGAATAGCTGGTACCAGAAATAATTGCAACGATGTCAGGATAAGGCGCGGGCATACATTCTGACGGTTGCTTTTAGGCACGCTTAGTTGATAAAGTGGATATTGAATGTTTCAGTTTAATGAAGTTTTGCCCAAGATCTCATCACTGTGTACCACTATTTGGTGCACGATTGTCTTCGCAGTGCCACTAGTACTAAGCCTCGTAGCTGTTATTGTGAGATGGGAATCTCTTAGTTTCATTTAAGTGCTCGTTTGGAGCATGCCTTTACGCTACAAGCACCAAGATACCATTACATTGAACAGCTTTACTGTGATGATATGGCACTTTGATTTTCCCCTAGTGCTGCCGTTTTCTTGGAAAATGGCAATTTTGGTACCCCTTTCAGGCTCTCTCAGACATTACAACTACGTGCATTTGAATCCAGATTCAGTTTCAGTTTATTTGTTTTACCAGTAATTACAGATCAGGCCATTTTGTCCTGCTTTTCAGATAATCCTGGATACACATAAAAATATATACAACAAATACACAGTTGATATCGTTGTTATTGCATTCAGAACACAATTTCTTTCAAACACTTTACTTACTAATGACGCTTTCAGTTGGTAAAGGTTGACTTTACCCACGGCTCTAGGGTGATCCTGGATCACTTCCAGTCTCTGCGCTTCGTGACGCAGATGACGTTCTAATACGCTTTACTGACGTGAGCCACATGCATCATACATCACAAGTAGTCATTAAGACTTGTAACTACTGCATTTCTACTGTTAAAGGCCTGACATAAAGGGCAACGCTCTGTCGAGTAATGAGCAAGTGCCGCAATTTGTGTACACAGGGAAATACCAGTCACTTTCAAGTCGTCCTTGGCAGTGTTCATCAAAGACATCACTTTACAGAAAAAAAGACAGGGTACAACGATTTCTGCACAACATCCTTTCTTTAAGCACTCTTTTTATATTCCAACATTTTATGACTAGACATGGTGACAGCACACTCAAGTTATATCAAGATAATACTCATTTTCAATTGAGTTAAGTGAGGAAATGCGTGTAAAGTGCCTTTCCCAAGGGCACAAGATCGATGGCATGTCAGGACTCGAACCCGGGACCTCTTGGTTCCAAATCAAGCATGCTGCCGCTACGCCACACAACCCCACTTTTTAAATCATACGTAAAGGTTTATTTTTACTCGTGTGTACATTTATTCAAGCTTTAAGATGTGCATTAAGAGGGGATTTTGTACGGTGAATTTTTGTTTACCCTGTCATCTTTTCTGTAAAGCGATGTCTTCGATTACCCGGGTGTACCTTTACGCAAGCTTAAAGGTGTTCTTAAATACATGATTTTACAAATGTAGTATCTGTTAGCTACTCGCGTACTTGACAACAAGCAGTTAAAAATATCACTCCGGAGTCTGAATACATCTCAGCGCAATCCCATTACAATAAAACGGTGCACACAAGGTCAGCTCTATGTTGTATACACCATACCGACGCTCTAGGGCTTTGCTCTAAGCACTGTGTGTAAAATATAGACGCTGTTGCAGGTCCCTTTGATGAGACACATCTGAAAGCCTTGGTTAGTCGTTCCAGCAATCTCCCTCAGTCTACAGTAGGAAGAAAGGCCGCACTTATCACGGGGCTCTATTCATTTGGGTCACACTTAAACGTCAGAGAGTACAAGAAGAAAAGTTCTCCTGAGAGTGGTAGATTGTTTGGAGTGCACCGTGGGTGCGATTTGGAGGGTTTAGGGAAATGGCGGTTTTATCAGTCACTTTGACGGTGCTTCTTTTGGGGTCCACGCGGCAATCGATGTGCCATTACCCCGGCGTGTGCGGTAATACACCGCCGCGGTTTCACGCCTGCCTGACGGTTTAATCGTTCCCCGCTGAGCCTCAGCTGGCGCGGACCCCCATAAACTTCCATTTTCTCCATCCACTTTTCAGGATAGCCAGGCCTAGGCGGTGGGAAATCTGATTTGGATTCACATTTTCCACCACAGCTGCGCGGCGCTCTACTTGTACCAAGGAAATTAAAAGCTCCTGACTTGTACTTCATATAGTGATAGAGTATATAGAGGCCAACCAGAGGAATTTGTCTGTTTTATACGGAAGAAAAACATTTCATTATGTACCGTAATTCTGTTAGCTCCCCCCCCCCCAACAGTGATAGCATAGGCATCAGATCAGCTTCTCTAACTAAAATAGATACTAAACTAGAAAGGTAACATTTGTCAGCAAATGCATAATGTTTACCTTCGCATATTGTCTGCTCTGTTAATTCTTACTCAAACACATTCATTTATATGGTGAGCAATGACAGGAGTCTAAATCCCTCCTGCTATAAAATTGCAACATGATGTCACCCAACACCAGTTACCATGGTGAGAGGCGTCTGGTTCAGGTCATTGACCTTATTTGTTTGGAGAAGAAGAGGAAGAAATTGAGCAAAAACAATATGTTTTCCTTCGGTAAACATAAAAAATCTAATAAAAACGCTACTTTAATAAAATACTTCTGACAAAAGAGTAGTCAAAAAACAAGAATGTAGAGTTGTGTTGGATAATCACGATTAAATAGCTGTGGTTGCTTGTAATCACTTACAGTGTGTAGTGCTACGTAATCAAAATAAGTTTTCTGCTTTCACAAATTGCATCTTCAACGGCTTACTTCGATTTTACGTACCCTGGGCATATCCGTAAGGCTCAGTGACGCACACGGACCTTCAGAAACCTGGCGCCCTCTGCTTCGACAAGGTGATGACATCACTTAGTCTCGGTAGACCTGCTTTTGAACTCGCACATCTCGGAGCCAAATGAACTGATCCAAGATAGTGGCGCGGCGAGCGGCCAGGAGGACGTTTAATCAACACCGACCATGACCCATGGCCTGTACTAAACCTGCATGTACTCTCACACACACATGCACAGGGGCTGGCTAATATTCAGGGTGCCAGAGTATACAGTGCAATTTTACGGAATACAATGCAATTTTACTGACTACAGTACAATCGTATTAGTATACAGTGCAATTTTACGGAATACAGTGCAATTTTACTAGTAAAATTTTACTAGTACTCAGTGCAATTTTACTAATGAAATTGCACTGTATAGTAATACGATTGCACTGTATTCCGTAAAACTGCACCGTAACACGTATGTTTCTTGTTCATACATGTTGTTTGTACCTACAATTAGCCCTCTGACATGTATTTTCAATAAATTTTCTTTATTAGCCGTTCTTTCCCACGGACACGTATCACGACTGCATTTGCCGGTGTGTTAGCAGTATATTCATCTCACCCGTCTTATTACTTTCATTACTGTAAGCATTCAAATCACCAGTCAGTGTAGCGTCATCAGTAAGCTGTTGTTGCTACCGTAAACCAAAAGACAAGACAAAGTCGCGGAAAGGCACCAACATTCCGGAAAAAGTGGTACAGTACTTTTGTCTTCCGCTCTCTTAAAAAAAGAAATCAAACCCAGTAGATTTAGGAGTTAACTACCCTATACGGTAGTTTCTTCTTATATATTTTTGTGTCTAATTATGAATTACTTAATTGTACTTGTATCAAATTCTCCTTTTGTAGTTGCAATACGCCCTTGAGAATGATATTCCAGTAAAAAAATCAACTCAATCTTTACATGCACGTATAGGGGTCGTAAAGCTGCGGAAAGGAGGAAGAAACGTCACCTGTACACTACAGATATTTAAGCGTGCTTCAATAACAGTTTCCGTGCCTTGAATATATTAAGCTTTGATAGGCACTGCACGTATCACAAGTTTTCCAAAAGTCCATTTTCGAAGGGCTCTTCCATCGTTTAAAAATATGATTGCTATACTATACTGCCATGGAATAAAACAGGGCTTTAGAAGGAAAACTCGTATCAAGCACGCATTTCTTTGTTTTATGTCTTACCTAATCCAACCTAACCAATACAAGTGTATTGCACTATTTTGTTACATCAGTGTGCAGGAATATAAATGCTGATACATTTTTCCTCTGCATAGATAAAAGCGAGTGCCTGTAAGAATGCTACAAGTGTGGAAGCATATTTTATGTCATTCGGCATTACCATTCATCTTGTGTATGTAATTCCATTGTTTTATGTCTTACCTGATCCAACCTAACTAATACAAGTGTATTGCACTATTTTGTTACAGCATCGTGTAGGAATATAAATGCTGATACATTTTTCTTTTGCACAGATAAAACTGGGTGAAGCATTTTGCTCGCAAGCAATCTACAGGTGTAGGAAGCATATTTTATGTCATTTGGCATTTACATTCATCTTGCATGTCCATGTTATTCCCGCTTGATCCTGGCACCTCGCCACGTATCTTAGGTACTTACCGGAATGGCTTCTCTATACAGGCTGAAATCCCTACCGGCTATGGACACCGCGCTAAACTGATGACCCTTCCGGACCCGTGGATTTCATGCTGCCAGCTCTCGGGATATGCAGTACGACAAATGTTTTCCCGTAAGGCCCCCATTTCACTTAGTGTCGCTCTCACGGCGCGCTCTCTGCGACCTGAAATTGGCCAGAGCGAGGAGAGAGCGCCATGAGAGCGCCGAGATCTCCATTTTTGTATCCAAATTAAGGTTGGGGTCGTTGTGCGCTCTCATGGCGCTCTCACGGCGCTCCCACGGCGCTCATCGTTGCATCGCTGTCCTCGGCGCTCTCACGGCGATGGTATAACGCGGTTGCTTGAAATCGCCGAGGTGACGGCGCTCATGGCGCTCTCATGGCGCTCTCATCGCGCTCTCATCGCGCTCTCATCACGCTCTCATCACGCTCTCATCGCGCTGTCATCACTCTCTCATCGCACTCTCATCGCGCTCTCATCGCGCTCTCACCGCGCTCTCATCACGCTCTCATCACGCTCTCATCACGCTCTCACCGCGCTCTCATCACGCTCTCACTGCGCTCTCACCGCGCTCTCATCACGCTCTCACCGCGCTCACATCGCGCTCTCATCACGCTCTCATCGCGCTCACATCGCGCTCTCATCGCGCTCTCGTCGCGCTCTCGTCGCGCTCTCGTGGCGCTCTCATCGCGCTCTCATCGCGCTCTCATCGCGCTCTCACCGCGCTCTCATCACGCTCTCATCGCGCTCTCATCGCGCTCTCGTCGCGCTCTCATCGCGCTGTCATCGCGCTCCCATCGCGCTCTCATCACGCTCTCTCCTCGCTCTGGCCAATTTCAGGTCGCAGAGAGAGCCCCGTGAGAGCGCCGTCTGAGTGGAGTAGGGGTATTATTAGTGGAGTGGGGATAAAGAGAGCACGATGGTTGTTCATAGGGACTCCAGGAAATTGCTCCAACACCATCAAAGCGCTACGTGACATGTTTTATAGCTATTCTGTTATAATAAAGTATAGCGACGATAACGTTGTGAAACATGCATGTGCTTTCTACGTTATTGAAGTCATAAGTACCACTATGTTTATGTTTCATATTTTCACATAAATTTACACCCTGTCGTCGGCAGAAAGAAATTTTATTGCTCTGCCCAAATTCATAACGATGATATGTTGCAATTCATTCTAATATTAAATGTTTTTATGCATAAAAATAAAGTTAAAACACTTCTACAATGATTCATAAATTTAAATTACTACTACTTTACTCGTGTCCTACCAAAAATACTAAAGGAGGGAGTGTTAAGACTCATAATAGTAAGATTTATATTTAACTACAAATTGTTGTTTGATTGCCCATGTTCAATTCTTAGATTAAGGACTTTCGTGTTTTTGTTCCTTGATTGTGTTTAATGGTGGCGCTGATATAAGTTTAACGTAACCAGAATGCGTCGTCATTTTGTCTTTATCTATTTAAATCTGTTTTAGTACATAAAAAAAGTTGCGACAGCCGATTGAAAGTTACGTTGAAAGTTTGGCTGCCGCACAACAATACACAATGATCTGTGCAGTTGTGTACTCAAAGTTCCACCAACCAAAGTACACACGCCCCACCAATCCTAACCTTATCTTTGATGTAAATTTAGCTGACGATCAATCCGGTGCCGACACGTGTAGACATCTCTTTGTGTTTGTCTAATAGCTTCTGTCCACAGTAACGTTCCACGAGCGGCTAGATTCAATCCTCAGAGCAGATTCCTTAATGCCTTTGACCCCTCCGACTCTTCACGTCTCAGTGCCTTGTCTTTGATAGCTTCCACCCGAGCAGGATGAGAAATGTTTCCTCTCCCCACACGCTCCATTACCTCTTTTCTGCCTGATTTACTTCTGCTACGACATGAAAAGTTAAGCCTTTTATCAAGTGGACGTCTAGTACATCTGCTGTTGGGGGATAAACTCCCCGAGGATGTGCTTTACATTGATTTGTACAAACTGCTGTACGGTATGGCCAAGAAAAGTCCATTACAGCGTCCTATCGCCGCGACCCGTAGCGGAAATGTTATCGTAAGCGGCGGTCTGACGACGACTTCTGACCCCTTGGCGTCTGTGCGTGCAGTAAAAGTGGAAGCAGTGGAATATCTTACGGCATTTTTACGTCCTGTAAGTGTCGTAAGTGGTCCTCACACTTGCATTTACTTGATTCTTATCATCGCCACCTCGTTGCGTCTTAGCGCAGATAATCAAATTACCGTGCTACACAAACTGTGAAATTGTTTCACTTCGGTATGGGCTGCGTTTTTACGGCCGAGAGAGGGTTTTATAGTCAGTGATCTGGAGATGCTCAACGCAATAAAATGTGTAATTTGTAGCTTTTTTATTGTCGGGAGACAGACGAGAGAGAAGCACTTCACTTTTCTGTCCCTGGTTGAAAAACTAACCGTCGGTGAAGGACACAGTTCGAAACATTGACAAATTCATCACGTTCTTTATGGTCAACCTTTGACCAAGGCCAATAAAAGATCTCCAAAAATTATTCCCTGTTGATAACTGTGCAAAATCAATTCGTTAAACACAACTTAAAGCATGTATAAAGGTTCCATTTCATCACTTTCGTGTACATTTATGGATGCTTTAATTATGCTTGATATTTCGTGTAGTGAATATGACTGATTTAAAGTCAAAAACCCATAGAATCTGCTTTCTTTCGATACAACTCATGATTACATAACCAAAAACCATTAGTTATGTAAAATATGTGGTAGTTACATGTTTAAACTCAAAAGCTTTGTTCCAACACGAAGAATGGCTCTTATACAATTTGAAAGCTTTCGATCAGTCATTCTGGTCTTCCTCCATAGACCAAGTGAGACTTGTCACTTGAGCTCAACCGCGACGGGGGTGGATATTGTTTACCAGATACCTTTGACCCAGTGTTGACGCCACACATCAGAGAAGCCACGTGACAAGTCTCATTACTGGGTCAGTCTATCGAAGAAGACCAGAGTGACTGTTCGAAAGCCATAGGTACTAGTTTGAAGCAATTCTTTGTCTTGGAACAAAAGTTTTCACTTACAAAAAATTATTGTCCATTTACGACCTTTTAAGTTAAACTCTTTGCAAACCAATCAAACAAACAACACCAATGACCCATCCAAGCTTCCGTCTACGATCAAGAGATACAGAAACATTTAAAGATAACCGAACAGTGAGTCAAGCTTTCCCTTATTACACGGACACGGAACAAATTGAAACGGTTTTCTAATAGGAATCGAAGAGGACGTCACAATGACGGTGGACAGTCATTCTACAGAACTCATCTGTTGACTCTTGCTGGTCCCATCAGTTAAGTCTTTATCTCCCTCCACAGGTGGCAATCCTGACATGGCCGCAGAAAAATCGAACCCTCAGTCACCGCTTAGCTCACCAGTCCTCATTCCGGAAAACTCGTTTGCATTTAGACGACAGAAAATCGCAAGTCCATTATCTACTTCCCGCGTCGTTAATAGATTTTTCGTCCTCGCTGAGACGACTGTCTGTGCCCTATATTGATCGACACTGTTTTCATGGTACACTCTCTAAAGAAGTATTAACCAATTGCGGCTGAGTGAACTTTGTGCTGAGAGAGAGTGGTGTGTGAAGAACTGCAGCACTAGGGGGCGCCCCGCTTGTAAAGACGTAGCACATTATCGTTACGTGTGAGTGTGCTATTAAAGCATAGTTGGGTACCTGCCTCGGTAACATGTATTAGTCTAAAGCAACGTAAAATTAATACCTGTTTCCTTCCTGAATTACTCTAGCCTAGCACCCAGCTTTGTAAGGCTTAGGGTCGCGTTCCAATGGTCAATACCTTGCAAACACACCAGCTAACGCTAAGCTACATGTAATAGTCATACGGCTGGTCGTTAGGCTAGATATACTCCTGAGGGCTATCCAAAAAAGAATATGGGGGAGGGGGACTAATAGATACAAGAAGGGCATTGCACCATAAAGCACCAAATAACTTTCCTAACCTAACTTGCTAAATAATAAATATGCACGACAGAAGAGAGACGAGTAATTGAATTCTGAGTTACATGGCCATAACATATCGATTATTATATTTCTCTGAATTATAACGGTGTGTGTGAAAACTGCACGATCGTTTTTTCATTCTCGCGCTGAGGTCAATAATTCGGATGACGAGGTGAGGGCATCCTTGTGTCTTTTTTTTTTTCTTTCTGTCTTACCTGTTGCGGCTGCCAGTTTCAGTCATTTTTTGTGTTAAATGAAGGAAAAAATATTGTTTTTGCTGCATTTCCTCTCCCTCTCTTTCTTCTCCAAACAGTGACCTGTCTGAACCAGACTGTCTATCACCATGGTAACGTGTGTTGGGTTAAATCATGTTGCAATTTTATAGTAGGAGGGATTTAGACTCCTGTCACCATATATGTGAATGTGTTTGAGTAAGAATGAACAGAGTGGACCATAAGCGAAGGTTAAAATTATGCATTTGCTTTGCAAATGTTAGTACTTTTCTAGTTTTTATTTGACTTTCTTAGTGTACTTGACATGAAGCACTTACCTATATGAACGTAGCATACTTAGGCTGTCAGAGCAAACCATGTCGAAAGAAAATGCTAATGAAAATTGACTGATAGGTACAGACCCCGGCGTCCTCATGTTGACATAAATAGGTCGACACAAATGCGGAGTGCTATTTTGAAAGCAATTGAAAACCGCCCATGGCAACATGGACTACTTCCATACCTTCCGTTGCCATTAGATCTTGAGCCCCTGTCACACATTTAGAAACTTAGCTGGAACACTAACCAACCAACCAACCAAGGTTGGCTAAAGTTCGAGAGGGGTCTGTCTGACCAGATTCAGGGCATTTGAATCCGTTCGAATGTGAGTTAAATTTGAGTTTAATTTGACCCCTAGACGCCAGTCACCAGCCAACCATGGTCCAACCTCCCGAATGTTTTAAACATTGTGAAACATTCTTCTGGCACAGCCGAACAGTAGCCGACCTCACCAAACACCAGCCAACCACAACCGACCTTGCTCCCGATCTACTCTTATAAACCATTGTTGTTGGGAAAGGGGGAGTTTAGCAGTAATTATTAAGCTATGTGTGACAGCAGCTAGCTTCAACCAAAAGTGATACTAAAACTAGAAAGGTAACATTTGCAAAGCAAATGCATAATATTTACCTTCGCATATGGTCTAGAAAACCACGCATTTTAACCACGCGTCTGCTCTGTTAATTCTTACTCAAAGACTTTTACATATATGGCGACAGGAGTCTAAATCACTCTTGCTATAAAATTGCAACATGATGTAACACTAGTTACTATGGTAACAGGTGTCCGGTTCAGGTCATTGACCTTATTGGTTTGGAGAAGAAAAAGAAAAGAAACAGAGCAAAAACAATATGTTTTCCTTCGGTAAACATAATAAGACTAACCTGGTCTATCGTCACAATGTAGACTATACAATTGATTCCCCCTGACGCTATTCATGTTGCTAAATGTTTTGAACAAACAAGTGTGCAATTACTTTGACAACCATTATAACGTTCTGTCTACTGTGTAGGTTATAGAGGTAATATGTCTTTTCAGACTTTGCTTTGTGTCCAATATATATTGTATCATATAACTTGGTCTTAGTTTT